CTGTTATGCTGTTACTTACCCGAAGAATAATAGGAGGTGGTTCTAAGAATCAGTTATGTTCAGTACTCCGTTGTTAAAGGTTTCTGCAGCAAAGTATTTTTCCTCCTCCTCTGGCATGGAGACCTTGCAGTTTGACAAGGGGGGAAGGACAGGGCTTTGGTATTCAGGCACATCAATTCACCCCCAGCTGTCTTCACATTATCAGGATGGAACTAGCTGTTTGCTGAACAGCAGTTCCACAAGGCAGATCAAAGGCAGTTTTTTGAAAAAGAAAATATATGGAAGGAGCAGATATTTAGAAACATATTTGAAATATTTCTGTTTTGGGTATTTGTTCCAGTTCCATAAGTTGGTTGGACTACAACCTACATACAGTCTTTCATAAATTTATTTTGGTAACTGTTTTCTTCTCTATTCACTTGTCAAGCAAATTGTGTAGAGTGAATGCACATCAGGATATGGGTTCATCTCTTGCTGCTCACCCCCTAGGCAGGCTGACATTAGATATTGAATGTAATGTGTAAATGATGCACATGTATGTAGAGTACAACTATGGTTGCCAACATCCAGGTGGGGTGTGACATTCTCCCAGAATTACAAGTGATCTCAGACTACAGAGATCAGTTCCCCTGGAGAAAGTGGCTGCCTTAGAGGGTGGACTCCATGGCTGCATACCCTCCCCAGGCTTGATCCCCAAATCTCCATGAATTTCCTAAATTGGAGTTGGCAACCCTATCTGGGAGGTGCACAACTGTACCATGATGCTGTGGGGAAGCAGAACCCCCCACATGCACACTTCCCAACAGCAGAGATCTTGGGACAAATAACCTGTATGGAAACAGCCCTTGCCTGGTAAAGAATAGTAAAATATTGCATTTATTACATTGACATCTATGCACATGTGTGTTGGGGGAATACCTGCAAAAAAACTGTAAATTTGGAAAAACTCATGTAACATTTCCCCTTCTTTTCCTGCTCCCTTCCCATTGGTGATCCAACCTACTTTTTGTCTCTTCCCTGGCTTCAGCTTCCCTCCCCCTGGCAGCCTCTGCCCAAGAAAACTATGGCTGAGTTGTGCAGTGCCAGTGACCAGCCTGGACCCAGTTGCATGTTGCCAGATGCTGTGTGATGGAGAACCTGTGAGGACTCTCAGGGGTTACTTTATTACCCCCTGTATACCCTATCCCACACTGTGTCCTCTTTTTCTTCTCCTGGCAGCCCACATATCCTCTCCCTTTCCCTGCTTCCTTCTCTCGTTCCCATTCTTTTTCCTGCCTTTATCTGCGTCACTCAGTCTTCAACTTTATTTATTATGTATTTATTAGTTATTTACTTCATTAATATGCCATTTTTTTCCATACTGGGAACCCAAAGCAGCTTATTTTATTCTCCCCTCCTGCATTTTATCCTCACAACAACCCTATGAAGTGCTAGTGCTAGTGGTGTTACTAGCCTAAGTCACCCAAGGCGTTTCCATGGCAGGGTGGGTCTGTCAGATCCTACTCTGAAACTCTGCTATACCTAGGGTTGCCAGCTCTAGGTTGGGAAATACCTGGAGATTTTGGAGGTGGAGCTTGGGGAGGGGAGGGACCTTAGCCATAGACTCCACCCTCCAAAGCAGCCATTTTTCCCAGGGGAACTGACCTTGGTAGTCTGGAGATCAGTTGTAATAGTGGGTTATCTCCAGGTGCTACCTGGAGGTTGGCAACCCTAGCTACAACACACTGGGTGTTATAGGGTACAGACGCTACAGGCCCTGCTTCTATTATTGTTGGGGGATTAACTCCCAGTGTTATTGTTTTGTTTTTTAAAAAAAGATTTTAGATTTTTCTGCAAACTTGGGGCTTTTCTCAGGTTTGTAGAAAGATCTCTCTTCTCTGTTCATGGTTACAGTTTTGGAGTTTAAGTATCCATATATTTGGCCGTGTAGAGAATTATAGGTATTGATAAATCCTGTGTATAATGTAGACATATATAACAGAGGATGCTTTCTCATGGACCTCTGCATCCCTCCCATCACCGCTTGCAAAGTTTTTTCTGGCTTTTTAAAGTAGTAGGCATACTGCTGTAGCCTCATAAGACGATAGTGCAGAGATTCCCAATATTATTGAGCCTGTCATCACTTATGGAGTTTGGACAACAGGTAGTAGGTGTCATCACAAAATGGCTGCCATGGGGGGCAATCAAAAAATACTGGGACATTCCTCAGTAGAGGCAGCTGTTTCCAAAGCAGTGCCCCTTGCAAACCCAAAGGGCCTCCTAGGCTCTTCTTGAGCACTCATACCCCAGTGATACAGTGGACTGGCTTTTTGCTTTGGGGGAAAAGCAAGTGGGCACCAGGAGGCACAATGTTACCTATGGGCACTACATTGGGGTCCACTGTTATAGATACTACTGGCTTTTTTTAAAAAAGCTGGCAAAAACCACACTGATAGGGATGGGAAATAGTGAGTGTGAGAAAATACCATGTGGATCCTGTGTTGCTGCTGACAAACAGCACAGCAGGGAGTTGTCTGCCAGTTGAAACAACCATACTTTCCAGTATAAGTTATTGTTTAATTGTGAATAATTTTTACTTGTTAATATGCTATTACTTAAAAGTTCAGTGTTTTAAATATTATATTTGGATAACCAGTTAAACTTTATGCTGGTAGACATATTTGTGACTGTGGTTGCAGTCACACACACGAGATAACTCGGGGGGGGGGGAGTGAGGCTATTTGCTCCGTAGGAATTTGACCCGCAGTTGCGCGAACACACAGTCCCTGGGAGCTCTGGGGGTAGCCCACCACTGCGTGATCAGACGCAACCGCGGGTGAATCAGGGTGGGGTTTTTTTTGCTGTGTGTTTCTTGTGCGCTTCAATGGAGGATTGATTATTTGCATCTCTGCACTGAGTGCTCCCTATGCAGTGTATGATTATGCGCATACCGAAATGGGGAAAAGAACAATGGCACGGAGTTGGGATGGCCCAATCAGACCACCCTAACACCATGAGAGCACGCTGGCGCGATCACACAGGGTGCGGGACGTTTCCCAGATGTTTGCGTCTGATCGCGCCCTTAAAATCTGCCCGGCATTCGCACCTATGGCGTCGCTAATTCTGCGTGTGATCAGCCCTGTATGAGGTTGTTTCTTTCCAAATAATACACTTTCTTTTGTTTACTACCAAATCTGTTTTCTGATCTCAACTTTAACTTTTCCCCTACCTCTCATATGGCAAAAAATAAGATACAGCTGCTAAGGTAGAATACAGTGTAGCAGTTCTCCCACAAGTATTGAGTGTATTTGTAGTTTTCTTCATAGAAAGTTAAGGCATTTATGCTTTTAAATCCCACAGGTATGGTAAATAGTATAGTTTTAGATGCTAAGTGGTGCATCGTATGTTGGTAAAGCAGTAAAATAAATTTAGATTTGATAAGAATGTATTGCATAAATTTCAGTTCCCACCCCCAAGTGTTTTCCCCTATGGTTTCAAAAGTTCTAGAAATTTTGCATCTCTATAATGTGTCACTTGTTACATCATCGAAGCCAGTGGAGGATGGGTGCATGGGGCAGGTGCAATTATTTTATCCTATCATGTGTTGATTCTACAGTGAGAAGAGGGGAAATATTTTCTGTGCTATATCTGTGGTTGTTTGTATAGCCAGATGTTATACGTAAGGAATCTCCTACTTCTGTCTACACTGTAGATCAGTTTAATGGCTTTCTAAAGATCTTTGCTATATGCTTCCTTTGTATACATTTTATGCTACATTCATCTCTCTTAACAGTCAATCTTTTCTATCAGTGTTAGCTGCTGAAATTACCATGGCTTTCATCTGCACCATTTATGTACATGGTATGTATATATTTGTCTGTGAGAGATGAATGTAAGTGAAGAGACTGTTAATTTTGAAGCCCAATGGTAACAATGTAGGTGGAGGCCATTAGTTTGCCTGATCGATTAATTGCTCAATACAAACAACAAATCCATCCTTTGCAACTTCACTGAATGTGTCCTACAATTTCATACAATCATTGAATAAAAAAATGCACAACTGTAGCAGAGCTGTATGAATTTTAGGAATATTCAAGCAAATTACTGTTCCTCTATTAGTATTTATTTACCTTGAACGTTTCCTTCCCTTCTTTTTACAGATTGTCATTATACCCGCCTGTTTGTGTATCTGTTTTGAGCTTCACTGACTCTGCTATCACCTTCAGCCATGTACCATCTGCTGCTAGTCTCTGTACCCATTGAATTATATGCACAGTGGGAGGAATGAGGGCACTCTGTTAGCTTTCATCAATTGAGTTGGGCATATATGAAATTTCATGAAGTACTTTTCTATCTGAAGCTTGGGGGCATCCCATGAAAAATCTTGAGAAAATGAGAAACATGTTTTCAAAAGCATCTGACTGTGTGGCGCACTATGTTTGCCACAGTGAAAGAATGCGGGGAGGGGGGGTTGGAAATCTCAGAGAGAGTATCAAGCAGACCAGGTATTCAGATACACCTTTCTGTTTCATAGGACTATTGCCAATCTCATTTCCATGCTCAAAGGCAGCTGATCGTTGTTGTCTGTGGCTGCCTTAGCAATGGGGCACAGAATCTCATCTAGCTGTTTTATGTTTTATAATAATACACCATATCAGTGACATGACAGCTGTCACTGTAATATCTGAGCATCTTGCAACCATTCATTCATTTATTTTCTCATTGTCTGCAGTGCTTGGATTATGCCTGTGGAAAGTCACAGCAAAAGAGTACTTTTATAAAGGCACCTGCAATGAAGGCCAGTAGGTCTTTGCCACACAACTGCTATTTGAAAGAAAGTAATCTATCCTTGAGCAAATTGTCCAGTTCAAATTTTTTTGCTGTGGATTAAGGGACTGAAGCTGAATCTTAAACCCTTGAGCACTTTCTAGACTATTCATTTCTTTCAAAAGATATTTTCATGGCAGACTAGACCTATTTGTTAAAATATCCATCTCTCTTCCTCTTATGTCTCTCAACAGATCTACAATGACAAAAAGAACCAGTTTGAAGTAAAAGAGAATGTCCCAAAGAAAATAGTGGAAAAAGTGGCAGGTGACATTGAGAGCCTGTTGGCCAAGAAGGTCCGGGCATTAAAGGTAAGATGGCTCACTGGAGCATTAGTCTTAATTGGTATATCTGTCAGATCAGTTAATGAGCAATAATGGAATCGGTATGTGTGATGATTGTCTAATATTTGCATAGCCCAAGGGGCTGGTGAAGAGTACTTTATTCGGAATGCTTCACAGAGTGTTTGGAAGGCGGAGAGTTAGGTAATTTTTAAGAAATTCCCAGGATAGCAGCTATTCAAATTGAGTAGCTTTTTTGTTCTTAGTGTCTCTGCCATTTATGGGACTGCAATTAGAGATCCCTTTAAACATGGTCAGTGTCCCTCTCCTGCTTGATGAGTCTAAATTGTCTCACCCTCTAGTCTAAACTCTGTTCTCTAGTGAAGCAGTTTTTTCTACTCCTTTGGGGGCTTTAATCCAAAATGTTCATGTGCAAGCAGCTCTTGAGCAAGAAGAACAGAAAACACGCAGAGTTATGATATGGCGTATTGTTAGTTGTCTCAGATTTTGACGTACACTTTCAATGTAACTTTCCATTTTGTATAATTTCCTTCCTGAATGAACTTGTTATATTTGTTCCAGAACCAGCCAGCCTGGTGAAGCTGTAATGTTAATTGACCTTGACCCTTTCTGTATTTGGGCTTTTTGCTTTACTTCTTCAGAACCAAAATCATCACACTGAGACTTTAAGTGAGGGTTTTTATATTTGCATAGTCATTTATAGTTTGCACACAGCAGCAGAGTTTATTTCTATGGACCACTGAAGCAAGGCAGAGTTTAATTAACTAGATGCTATCGTTGTAGTGCAGGGATCCCCAACACTGTGACAAAAAATCAACCCTACAGTGTAGGGCCATCTTGCTCAAGCTCAGAGTCATTTCCTTGCTATTTCTGAGTCATTCACTAGGCCTTAGCTAGGCCTCTTTATTGTCTGAAGCATCACCAAGCTGAGAAACATGCAGGCATTTCTGGGTTTCCTAAAATACCAAGTCAGCACGAATGCAGTACAGGGTAAGCCTGACCCTTTGGAAAGATCCTTTATCCTGAGCAAGAGATAGTCAGGAGACTGGCTTATCAGCCTGAAGGTCATCCATTCCGGGGGGGGGGACAAGCAGTACTAAAGAAGATAAAACCCCAGAAGAGTCTGTTCTGTTGTTCTCATCCTCCCCAAACACTTGCAATATACAGTGAACATGTAGGGAGCACACAGACATACACGTGTTCTGCATGCAGCTATGCACGAGCTGATCTTGCCCAGGATGATGTAATATAAGTGTGGGGAGGTCGGTTTGTGCACCCCATAAACGCCAGAGCCTTAGAGCAGCACAGGGTCATCATCTTGTCAACCCTTTCCCCCATGGGGGGGGGGAGCTGTTTCCAGCATCTGAGAACCCTGGGCACCAAGGAGTGCTCCATAAGGACAGGTATAGCTAACTATATGTATGTGTCTCTGTGGCAGATGCCTTCCTGCCTCAAGGGTAGGAAGGAGCTTAGTCTTTGGGAAAGGAATTGGTCCCTTGCCGCTTGGGAAGATGGGAAGTTTGCTGCAGTGCTCTGTCTGTCCTGTTGTTGCTCAATAAACTGTGCTTCAACTGTGAACTTGTCTCCATGTTTCCTGGGCTGGAAGGGTCAGTGCAAATCTCTTCAATAGTGCACAATCCTGCCCTCTCCTGTGAGTGAGGACTGGCTCCCTCACCACAACAGAGGCACAGAATGTTCGTAGAAAGCAGGTGGGGTCAGGTGGGGCTCTTGCCCACCTGGGGTTTCTGATTAGCCACTGAAGATCTGACTGTGTATGCAGTTTAAATTAACATTGTTTCAGTGGTGGCTGCCACTGCAGTACCTGTTTTATTCTCTCTCCCCTCCTTTGTGTGTGTGTTTTTTAATTACCACTTTTCTCCTCTGTACTTGGGCTTCCTTGGTGTATGTTGTGCCTGCTAGCCTGTATCAGTTTTGAAGGTGCCCACAGGCTCAAAAAGGTTGGGGACCTCTACTGTAGTGTAAGGATTGAAGGGATGGTGGGAATAACCAGTAATGATGCCAGCAGACTAGAGTCATGCACTCATTTTGCTTAACTCTTCATAGGAACATTTGAAACGTGACAATGCCCTGTTTAGCTATGTACATTTATTTTGTACCAAAACTGTGCTCGACACATACACAAAAATGACACTGATCTGTACTGAGACAGTTCATGCTGCAAAAGCACCCTTGTGATATCAAATGGACTTTGCCTTTTATTTGTCCGTAGGCTACTCTGCCCAATTGTAGGCAAAGAACAACACATTAAGCAGTAATAGAGAATAACACATTATGCAGTCAGCGTGTGTGACTAGAGCCCTGGCCAATGACTCATTTGATGGGAGTGCCAGTTTGAGGAGGACATGGTGGTTAGTGGGCCAGCCTTCCTCTGCAGTCCGCCAGATGACTGACAGGAAATTCTTTTGTCACAGCCACTTCTACTTCCATATTCCTTTCTTGCCTTGGAACTGATAGTGGGGGGTGTGCTTATGCTCCATGGGTGCTGAATTCGTTCAGAGGCCTATCTAGTTGCAAAAGAACACAAGGTCATTGTACATTTATTTGTTATACAGAAGAGAGACTGTTGTACAGTTGTAGATTGTTATGCAACAGTAAAAAAAATTGCACCATCCAAAACTCCGATTTCTGTACAAGACATAAAGATGCAGGATCTCTGCCTTTGTATCTAGCTACCTTTTATGTGAATAATTGATTAACATTACTGGGAATTTTTATTGGAAATGTGACCTATGCATTGATTAAATATGACAAATAAATAAATACAAGTCGGGGCCCCCATAAAGACTTGCAGGGAAGGCTTCTGGTTTATGGCGACATGCAGGCAAACACATCTCCCAGACGTCCCGGGGATGTAAACTGCACACCAGCGTGTGGGAGGGGGTCCGATGGGTTGAGACCCCCCCGAGCCTTGGTAAAAGACTCCCAGCCAGGGGGCTTTTGAGGGGCGACCTCTTCGATGGCCGAAAGCCGGAGAATTGAGGCATCCCTCCGCCCTGAAAGTCCTGCCGCTGAGTGACCGCATGGTTTGAGTGCTGCTGACTGGGACAAGCGTTGGAGATCGGGCGAAATAAATGATGACGAGCGAGGCCGAATGGCCAACAACAAACTGTGAGTCGGGTTAAAGCAAGCATGAAGATATAAAAAGAAGCTGCCCCCCCCCTAAAGAGTGATGGGAAAGTGAGCGGAGGAGAAATCCTTCCCAAACGCATAGACGAAACACGGAAGGAAAGAGGGGGGAGCGAAAAAATAAGCAACTAAAACTGTTTTAAGAGACTTACCAGAGCGCAGAAAAGCATTTGGGCAAATATTAGAGACTTTAGCAACTTTTCTGAAAAGTCAACAAATCCAAAAAGATGGCAGGAAAGAAACCAGAGAAAGAGAAGCTGTTGAAATCGAAACTAGGGGCCAGTCCTCGAACAGATGAGGTCACTGAACTCTCAAAACTCTTGGCTGACTCCCTGCGCCCCCTGCTGGACGAGATCACTGGCATTAAACAACAACTGTCAGTAATTGGGAAGAGTGTGACAGCGCAGCAGATGCAACTGACTCAATCCTTAAAAGCAACAGAGCAAATGGGAGAGAAGGAGAAGGAAATGGATGTCACTACTAAAAAAGTTAAGGAAAAGGTGCAAAAGCTGGAAATGAAGCAAGCTACAAAAGAGTCAAAGCTTTTACAGCTACAAATGGATAAAGCAAATTTTGTCCTACGGTTTCAAGGGGTCCTGGAAATTGGAGAGAATCTGAAGCAACGGCTTAGTGAAGCAATAGCCCCAGTGACAGATTTAACAGTGGAATACCTTTGCAGCGAGATGGATGTGGTCTACAGGTCTTATTCATCGTACATCAAGAAAAATAATCTGCCTGGGTCCCGCGCCGATCCCTGGGACATCCCAGACGGGACAGAACAAGGGGCACCTCCTGGGGTATGAAGACATCCCTGTTATAGAGCCGGGAGAAAGGAGGGGGCATGCCAGACACAAGAACCGGAAGCTTTACCGTGGAGCTGCGAGGATACCGGGGCCGATATCAAGGAGCCGGGCGAGGCAGACTCTTCCGAAGTGCACCACAAGCCTCACCGAGTTACACAGCACAGAATTAGCCAAGTGAACACAAGGGGTTGGGAGAAGGGAAGGATGCTCTGGGAATTTCTTCAAACAGTTAAAGGGATGGTTAAATGATAATTAATCTAGCATAGCCGACTAAGTTCATTGTATTATTAGTAGCTTTTTGAAAATAGCATGGTGTTAAGCTGATGTATGATCTCCTACTCTTGGGTTTTTAGTTAGTTGTGGATCTTTTTTCTTTATTCCCTAGATGTAGTTCCCTTTCCTATATTTTCTGTTGTCGTTTTGTAGTCTGAAAAAAAAAACCAATAAAACCTCCCGCCAGGGGGATGAAGAAAAAAAAAAGACTTGCAGAGAACGTCTCATTTCTCTCTCCCCATTATTTCATTTTTCCCTTCCCTGAAAGCCTCCATAACCTCTCCACTTTTTCCTGTGTCATTCTCTCCTTCTCACCACCAGTCTTACCTTTATCTGCCCCAACCCCATCTTCAGTTTTTCCTCCTTCCTGCCTCCTGGCAACCTCTACCCAGGAAAACTATAGCCTATTTGTACAGTAGCAGCCACTGGTCTGGGCCAGGTTGTGCAGTGGGGACCTGTAAGGACTTGCTGGGGGGGGGGGGAGATAAAAAATTCCCCTATATCCCCATGCTATTTCATCTTTCCTTCTAGCAGCTCCCATATCATCACCTGTCCTTCCTTCTCCTTCCCATGAAAACCCATGAAATAGGGTCCTGTCCTGTTGATGTGGCACCATGTCACTATACTGATCTCAAAACGAATTCCCCTCTTTAGTACGATTATCTGTACTGGAGTCTCTTTCTCTCTTTTGTGATTCATAAGAGTGATGATTTTTAAAAAGAAAACTTATAATTGGCAGTTGAGTCAAGTTGGGATGACGATCATGAATGAGAGATGGACAATATC